TAATGGAAGATTGATTAAATCCATTGCAAATTATAAGTGGTGTTTTAGTAAAATTTTAACTAGAGGGTAATTTTTAGTAAATCTATGAAATTATAAGGGGTATTTTAGTAAATGACCATTTTCTATTATTTAGCTTTCACTTAATAAATCCCGTGCATCGCACGGGTCCCCGCTCGTACTATTGAAGGATCTCATTGATGTTGTAGATTTATTTGATGCCACTACCATATCATTAGAAGTTGGATATGAAAAAACATATGTAGAGATCTTCAAAGCTACCTTAGATCATATCAATGTGGAGGCTAACAAAGTTGTGCATGTTAGAGATGATCATAGGGCAAATAAAGTGGGAGTCGATGCCATACGAATTGATTGCTGGTTGCAGGGATGAAGATGTAAAGACATTTGTAAAGATACAAGATCAAATTTTTAGATAAAATTCATAGGCTCCACCGGACTAAGGGCCCATGGCATGAGATAAAGCTCGTCTCAGAAATGGTCTATTAGAATCTCACAAAGCATTTAAGAAAGTATCTCAGACATGTGTTAGCTCCAAATTGCAAATGGAACTTTGTAGCATAGATTGTTTTTGGTTTGATAGGAGGGCAATAAAGGGCAAAATTGGGTTTTAAAAAAATTAACCCCCAAAAGGATGTGGATGAGGTTATAATTAGGGCAAATTTCAGTTTAGTACCTTGAACTTTTGAGGTAGTGTCAAGTTAGTACCCAAACTTCAAAATGTGTCATTACAGTACCCAACTTTGGAAAACTATCAATTTAGTACATACCGTTAATAGTCTATCAGTTAACTAAAGCACTTGATGTCACATGTGATTTATAACATTCTAAAATTCCAAAATTATCTTTTTAAAGAAGATATTGTTCATTGTCTTCTTCATTGAAACTGAAACTAAACCAAAGCAACAATGAAAAATAACCGAATGATCAAGTGCTCTTTCACAAGTTAGCCAAGACACAGACGAGAAACCAAAAATGACTTCCTTCCTCCAAACATAAAAAATTTATTAAAGTTCCAATAATAAATCGGTGGAATTATCTTTTATAATCACCGCTAAAACACTGTTTATCTTATTCCTCAAGAAAATAAAACAAAGCCAAGAGAGATAGAGAAAAACAAGGAGATGAATCAAGGGAGAGAGAGAGAGACTTCTCAGGACCGCATGATGACTGATGTGTTAATGAATATTCAATAATGTATTACGATTTGTTGTTATTTTCCCTAAAAATAAACCACAAAAACACTTAAATATGCATCCCAGGCTCCAACTATGTCGTACCTAGTCACCTAGAGGTGTAAAGTGGGTCGTGTTGGGCCAACATGGCATGGCCCGCGCTAAAGGCGGGTCGTGCCGCCCTCCCCGGTGAAAATTTTGGGGGTTGGCCTGGCATGGCCCACAGCCCAAACCCAGGCGGACCCGTGCCATACTACGAGCCTAGGCCGGGCTAGGCCATAGGGTGGGCCTTGGGCTTGGCCGAACCGAGCTAGACTCACTAAATGGATTATGGTCATATCAGGATTTAGGACAAGACACGAATAATAACGAATTTACGATTGCCCAAAGAATAAATAAATAAAACTATAAAACAATTCAAATAGGAATTTAAGAATTTTATTTCATTTAAATTTGAACGAAGAATCATACAAATTACAAAGTATACAATTATACAAATATTGAAATTATGAAATATACAATGATTGGATACTTCATAAACTTCATACTTGGATGAATGAAATATGAAAATGGAATAAATTAATAAAATATAAAAAATACAATATAGAATTATAAACTATATAGATTATATAGTTACAAATTGAAAATACAAAATTACATTAATAACAAATAAATTAAATAAAATTAAAACAAAATTTACAATAATTTGACAAAATAAAAAAATTGTGGGTTATTTATTAAAATTTACAAGTTAAACAAAATTTACATATACATTATGATGAAAGCATTCACACACACTTTCATCATCTGCTTCAGGTGAAAAATGAAATATCCGATGTATGTAGTAGTCTGTAGTATCATGCCTTCCTTTGTCTTGTAATTGTAAAGTTGTAATCTATATTCCGCATCATGATTCATGACTGCATCTAGCCAACCCTGGTACCGTGGTAGTGTGGTACTTGCAAGTCCTACACTAAAACAACTAAACAAGACTCCGATGGAACTATAGCTTGTAGACACCGGAGGGGTTAGTAGATCACGGATCACGTGCCATGGCGGGATTGGCGGCGAGAAATGTTCTCCGAGACTCCGACTTTTCCCAATATTTTTAAAATTTATTTTTCATTATTTCAAAAATTCATTTAAATTGTGGGTTATTTCTTCTTCCTTCTCATGTGTGAGAAAATGTCTGGTCAAATGGCCAGTACCACCCTTTCTATAATAGCTAAAGTATTTTCTACATTTTTGGCAAACTACTCTTTTCCCCTTCTCCTTGACATCCTCTATTTTAAATATTTTCCAAATTGGGCTACTAAGCTTGGGGTTTTGGGAAGAGCTGGCCATTTTTTTTCAAATTCTAAAAAAATAAAATTAATTTAATTGGACTTACCCCGGATTGCCAGTTCAGAATCCCAACTTGATTTCAACGGTTAAAGCCTTTCAACGTGACAATGTCCAAGGCTCCAAGCCTCTCAAATTGCTAAATTAGAGAATCAGACAATCAACCAACTAGACTATGAGACTATCAGAGTTCACTTAAATTGCAGAGAATGTATGAGAGACCGAAAGAGATTGAGAGTATGAGAAACTGAGAGAGGAAAGACTGAAGAGACTAAGAGGATAACTTAATAAGAGAATTGTTGAATTTGTGTGATGAAAATGGTGGAGGATAGTACTATTTATAGGAATTGCCAAATTGAACATAATTCAATTGCGCAAAATACCCCAAAAAACTAGTTATTTAGTTGTTGGGAGGGACATTTTGGTCATTGTAAAGTTATTTATAACTTTGCCCAAAAACCCCCTAAACTAGTTATTATATAGCTATTAGGAGACATTAGTGTCATTTTTTAACCCCCATAAGCAAAAATGCAAAATACACAAATGCCCCTATAATATG